ATGTGATAATCTTGACATTTGTATTATTTAGTATTAATTGTCATGCTTTTATAAAATGTGTTTGTTGTTGAAAACCTACTGTAAAACACTTAATTTTAGCTGAAATTAATTTTCTCTGAAAAGACTTTTTGGGTGTTTTGTATGGAATTAATTTTCACTGATTTTTGACAAGTTGAATGTAAAATTTATGAAAAAAGGTATATTCGCTGGATTTTATTTACTCTGAATCATTCCTTCAGTGAAAATAGCAAAATTAATTCCAAATGAAAATAAACTATTTTACAGTAATTGTGCTCAAACTTGTATGTATAGCCATCTTTAGCAAGGCAGCTTCTACACTAAATTGTGTTAAAATGATTTCCATATGTAGTGGCTGTACTTTGAACATCACATGAATTTTACATTGTTTAAATTTATGATATTTTGCTCTGCTTGGCTGCAGCACTTCAAAGTTGCACTCTCAAATCCTTCATCAAGTTTATTTGGATCATGAGACTGTGATGTGTAATATTTGACTGTCTGAATTTGGTGCAAATTACCGTGTATACTAAATGACTAATATTCAATGATTTTCAGCACGTCTGGGTGTTGTAGATCGTTTCGGCTTCTCATTTGATGCTTTATTTATTGTTCCAAAGTGATTCACCATGTTTGAAATACAATATTTCAGAACAAGAGTTTGCGTAGTGTTCAAATATTTACATTTACATGCAGATTCATAAAATTTAAATACGTATAAACATATGTAAATTTCCAAGAAACCAATAAAACTCTAACTCAGACTCAGACTTGAATACAGTTTTTGTTTTTCAATAAAATGAAATATTATGTGAGTGTATTAATAGTGGAAGCCTGGTTACTGTGAAAGCTAGGTCACCTTGAAACAAACAAGAAACTTGTGTCCCTTGCAAAGGTTCCCTTGCTGGTAATATTATTATTAATGAACATTTTTATTTGGCGTAATTTAAATGTCACAGAATTTTACAGCTAAATTACATATACCTATAAATTCTTACAAGATGGCTGTGAACAGTGAGTAAGCGAAGTACACTGAAAAAAAACGAGTATCACTACTGTTACCAAAGACTCAGAAATGGATTGTATGTGGGTTAAATATAGAAAAATCTATTCAAAACTGGCCTGAAGACGCTTGCCTGTAAAAAAAAAAATTGAGTTGGTCGTAGGTGATTTAATATACCAATACTCGCAGACCAGAAGTTTATGTATCAACAACCTCTTGTTGGTATTCTCAAAGCGATGTATAGCTTAGTGCATCTCTGATGCCGTCTTTATACAATGCCATCATAAAAAAATCTCAAAGAATACTGTGATATGCAAGCTTACGAAATTTCAGTTTAGGAGTGGTTTCTAATAAACTATTGAGACCAATGTTTGTCTATGAAAATTGAATTCTAATTTTGACACTAATTGATAGAATATAATTGTGCATCATCACTGATGTTGCACGGGGTGTTTACAAGGGACACAAGTCTCTTGTTTGTTTTGCGATAACTTAGCTTTTGCCATTTATACCCATATATTATATTTTATTGAAAAAAACACCCCAAAACAAAGATTTTATGCAAGAAATTGTTTGAAAGTGAGAAATTGTTTGTAGTGAAGAAAACACTAGGACTTAAGATTATTGCTGTGAACTTTACATTCATTTTAAGAATGTGCTTCAAATACTATGACGTCTGTGCAAATATCTATGTATGTAGAGATGTAGGTAGAACATCAATCAAGTCAGAATCCACACTTTAATTACATTGGAAGTTTGTGTGAATTTATAGCCATTTCCTCCAAAGGTCATGCAACACTACCTCCAGAAAACCATACCGTTAATTGCATCATTCATTACATAGCTCTGGGCTAATACAATTGCGCCATTAAAGTTAAGCCAGTTTACACTCCATTAACTTGCTTAGCAATTGCAGACACAACAGTTCATTGGGAGCTGGAAGAATATTGTGCCAATTATTGTTTCCTTTTCTTCAATTGCTTTTTTTTTGGAACCCCCCCCCCCAGTTTTTAATGGTCAACCCCTTTGTGGACAATTCTAAGAAACTTTTCTAGCTCATTTGGCCATAAAACACAAATAATCAGAGGCTTGGCCCTGAGACATAAATCATCAGAGGCTTGGCCCAGATATCTGAATTATTAGTCTCATCCACTCCCACTCTCTGCAGGTTTAAAGCACGTGATAATTAGTTACACAGCTCCTGCTGCTGTTAAAGTTGCTTGATCTCAGTTTGAGACCTCCTTGGGGAAACACTTTCACGATTTCCCTCCAGTGTGTGAAGAAATGTTTTACACACCATAGAATGTAGTTGTATACAAATACACAGCAAATGAGCAATAACTGAGATTTAGGTGATACCATTAATGATGGAGGGGTATAAGCTGTCCTCACTAGAGCTTCATCTCTAAATATTTTCACCTCAGCTCAGTGGTATCTCAAGCGTGATGATTTGGAAATAATTGATGTATTCCTGGTGGTTTTAAATGCAATTAATTTTAAACAAAACATTTTTATTAGGACTACTAGGAATTGATTATTCAAATTAGTTTCAGGTCACTCATGTTATGTTTTATTTAATGTTTTATGGTGTGTAACAAAAGGCCTGGGTTTTGGTAATATGCACTACAAGCAAATCATTTCATGTAAAAAAATGACATGAACACATTAACCATTTGAATGACAAACATTTTAATTATAATATTATTTATTTTTCAATTTTTGTAACACTTACATTTGCTTTCTAAAGACTAAAGATTGATTTTGTAAAATTGACAAAAGTTAACCTCAGTATTCAAAGGGTCAATTAGATGAAAAGTAGTCAGAATTTACTCTCTGTGTTTGCTTTATTAGTCCCCGTTCGGACGAAGTCCGAAAACGGGGACTTATAATTCGGTCTCCGTGTGTCCGTGCGTCTGTGCGTCCGTCCGGAGTCATATCTCAGAATCCCTTGGACCGATTCCGTTCATTCTTTGCATGTGCCTAGTACTTTATGTGGGACATATGCACATGCAGTGGTTTAGCGATTCGATTTAAAATGGCTGACTGGCAGCCATCTTGTTTTTTGAAAATGTTGTATTTTGGACATGCTATGCCAGTTTTCATTAAAACTTGGTACATAGATCATACATGTTAGGATACATGTCCCCGACCATCTGTGAGTTCCTGAGTCTGTCCGTCCGACCGTCCGTGTGTCTGTGCGTCAGTCTATCCAACGCCATATTTCAGAATCCTGTGGACCGATTCCGTTCATTCTTTGCATGTGCCTCGTACCTTATGTGGGACATATGCACATGCAGTGGTTTAGCGATTCCATTCAAAATGGCCGACTGGCAGCCATCTTGTTTTTTGAAAATGTTGTATTTTGGACATGCTTTGTCAGTTTTCATTCAAATCTAGTACATAGATCATACATGTTAGGATACATGTCCCCGACCGTCCGTGAGTTCCTGAGTCTGTCCGTCCGACCGTCCGTGTGTCCGTCTGTCCGTCAGTCTATCCAACGTCATATTTCAGAATCCTGTGGACCGATTCCGTTCATTGTTTGCATGTGCCTAGTACCTTATGTGGGACATATGCACATGCAGTGGTTTAGCGATTCGATTAAAATG